GGATGATGGTTCAGTTGCAGGCTGACTCTTCAAAATAGTGATTTGCTTGCTCACTGACTGTTACAGGTAAGAACGGACAGACCCAAGCAATGCATGTTTTGAATCGTCCTTCATACCTATTACCAGATCAACAGGTCCACGGTCAACCACAGAAGCGATTGCTTATCAATCCCAGACCGGACACATCAAACACCAACATTATTTAAAAAAAACACACCAAACATGCTGGCAAACTGTGTAAACTTGACATGGCTTGATGTGAATGTCGCAATGAAATCTGATTGCATCAACTGCAACAGGCTGTTTCAACAGCTTTGCCCTCACGCCCACACCCTCAAAGAATTGCCACGACATGCGACGTCTGACTGCCGTTTTCAGAGATCCGCATCCCCCCGCCGACCGTCGGCACCTCCGTGCTGTAAGGCGACCACTGCTGAGGTTGTACCTCTTAACGCGCCCCCGTAGAGGCCCCGTCGAGCGCACGAAAGCTGCGAAGGAAATCTTCCACAAAAGCCAATCGTGTGAATTGGGAAGGCCCCTTGGAACTGGTACATGTCTTTGATGGAAGAAGGCCATAGATATTCTTGGGGTACAATTATGTGCCTGTACATTTAAGGTACCCCACCTTCGCAGATGTTATAATGGCGGCGGCGGCAGCTGCAGCTGGTCTTCATGGACCAGGACAAGAATGGAAAATGCCAAACCACACATTCACTGCCAAGATGTTGGTTCGGCATGAAATAGGCGTGCGGTGTGTCAAGTAATGCCAGTGCTTGGCTGCTGGGCCTTGTCATACAAATGTCTCAAACTGCCGCTGGGCACGGGCAGCTTTTGACCATAGCCCAACCACCACCACTCTCTGGTTTTTGAAGAACCAGCCTGGCAAAGCGCTACACGCTGCTCTTCGGGTGGCTCACAACTCACTGGGGCTGTTCCTGCGCATGCTGCTCAAAAGGACTGGCATGTCGGCACGCAGGCACCGCCAAGTAGGACGTAGGACGTAGCACGAAAAGCTCAACACAAACTGAAAGCTAAGGGGGGGCAAGGCCTGGACCCCATGCTGAAGCTACTGAGGGAGCTGGCCATCATGGAAGAACAGTAAGCTTTCAAATGGTTCGCCCTTGGGCCATACCCAAATTGTTCAGTAAGTCTTTAAAGAGCTCAATCAAGATTGAAGTTTTCAGCATCTTTAGAATCATTGCAAGTTGCCAAACCCAGCGCCACCTCCACGACGGATCCAAAATTCGGAATTGAAACGTTGTTCTTGGTGTCTGGTCCAACTGTGGGTGAACCCCTGCACCGGGGAAGCTCCGTGTCTAAACATCAACCTTTACAAAACGGGAACATAGAGTTTGCTACTGAACCAGTGTACCAGAACTACGTTTACAAAACATGAACACTTTTACAGCATCAGAAGGTTACCATAGTGAACCCCAAATGGAGAGAAATGAAATGAAATGAATGGCATGTTCTGGACATTGTCTATATCTATAATATATATATATATATTGGGAACTATTGGGACCACTGTACAACTGGCCACCACCGTCTGCGTGATGTGCTTTCAACAGCCCCACCTAAGCACACGAGGTACATCTATGAAACCCTGCGAACAATCATTCATCCCATACCGAAAAACAATGAAGGGGGGTTAAAAGCACGGTGAAACAATAACAATTATAGATGTATATATCAATTATCTGGACATATATGGACCATAACCACATTCGGTCGAAGCCACCCATGCGTTGGCCTCCGAAGCCATACCTTCACCACGATCAAACCCGCCGGCACGGCCGAAGACGAGGCCATGGAAGGTGCCGGCGCCGGTTGCAGGCGGCGGTGTCGATGGCGAGTTTTGGGCTGGTTGCTTTAAGCCGCGAAAGGTGGGAAGTCTGGATTCTGATTCTTGCGCGGTCTTTGTTCTACTTGACAACGAAACACCTCATTAAGGCTGAGGCCGCGTGAGATAAGCCTTGCCTTCAAGTTTTCTCAATGAGCGACTGAATGCAGGTTGGGTTGAGGAAACTGAACGCTTGCGATTCAACAAGGGATGATGATGACTATTAACTTTGTTGCTATTATTAGATTATTGTTATTGTTATTTTGTGAAGGTCAAGGGGCTGCACCATGTGGCTTCCGCTAGCTTCTATGGTGTTTGCTTTGCTGACAACACTACGGGCCAAAGTGTGACGTGAGTGTCATCGGGCCATAGTGTTGGGTACAAGCAAAACCTGCTCAATAGCCCTTTAAACAGCTGCGTGCATATTACACTGTACAAATACACATACTTGACAGTAGTTTCCTGCTGCCTGGATAGCAAACAACAAAATACAAGGTCCAAATTTGAAGCAACTTTGAAGCGTTCAGCAGAGATGCTTAAGAAGACGGGCAACCTTCTCATTGGATCTGAGGACAACTTTCTCTGCATGGCTGTGCGCGTGAAAGTATCACAACTAGCTGTGACCAGCTAGCAAAGCCACCACTGAACAGACCTGGGAATATGAGCTCAACTCATCTAAAACAAAAGGTGTGAACAACTACAGTATATACAACTTCTCTAAATTACACACATCAACAGCATGCAAAACAATGCCGCACTTCCTTTGTAGTCCCAAGAAAATGATACCTCAATCAATCCCATGTTCTTCAACTCAACAAAGCAATTCATCCTCGCCACTCATCCCTCCCTCCAAACAAATTCCTCCCCAAACTGCTGGCCCATTTGGCCTGGGTCCACGGTCCCCCAATCCGCCTGGCCCTGCGCCAAAATCCGCTTGCGTTGTTGGTCCAACCGGTCACGTAGCAAACGCCTCCCCGTCCGGTGAAAACCGGCCGTCGGGTCGGATGGATTCGAGGAACGGCGGGCTCCTGGCCCACCTCCTGAGGTTCGATGGGACAGGGGTGGTCGAATACCACCGAGGAGATGCCTTTTGAATGGACATGAGTGGAAATCAACAGAGAAACCTCCAAGCAATTGTACCAGGGGCCCAAAACCTTTGTACATATCGATCGATCGGAACATGACAGGGAGTTGAGACAGTGCCGGAGTAAACATCCCGTTCAAACATTCGCATTTTAAGATGTGTTTTCAGATGTCCAAAGTCATTCTGTATGGGCTTGGTGACACCCTGTCAAGAATTGGCCAATAGTCAAAGTTATTAATGAAGTAACTTCCTTTTGATACAGCAAAGTAACAACTATGGGTAGCACCCAAGAATAAACTTACTTGTAGAAGTAGATTCCCAACAGCTTGACAACCAGGCAAACAGGGCCGGGCTGCAACAAGGAGTACCCCCATAGCTAGGGCCAGACCAACGGCCAACATCACGTAGGACTCATAGGACTATGGTGACAGCTCCAGTACAGGATACAACCACATGATAAGAGATTGCATATTTTTGTTCTGTTCAGTTTAGTAATTGCATAAATATATACTACTCATAATATTCACACCCCTCCTGGCTGTACACTCTTGTTATTTCAATAGCTCAGCCTGAGCCAGAACTGAAGCTCAGCTTGTGCTTCTTCCAGCTTCAGGATATGCAGACAACCTGCGGGTTCTCAAGACAGACGAAAAGGTCTTGTGCCAAACTGGATCGGATGGGTGCATTACAACAAAAACACAAACATAATATCATTAAAAATATATATATATATATGATGCACAGCATACTCTAAGTCACTAGAGACCATCCAAAACTTGAACATATCTATCTCGGAGTCTAACCGGGCATCTGGAGGTATCATTGTCATGCCCACCTCCATTGATCACAGGTCCAAATCCTTTCCATCACTTCCCCACATTCTGCTGCCTAATCCGACAGGTGCGAGATATGCTTGTTCATATCACCGGGCATATGACCAACCCCTTGAACATCCCCTGCATTCAACGGTTCAATGCATAGGCACCTGCATGTCCATAGGTGCACCGGCCTAAGCATTACGTATATTATGAACATAACGCACATTGAACGTTGATATTCGGAGACATCTTCCCCTGCAAATTGCAGCAAAGGGACACTTTGCACCATTTTCATGAAGGTCCCAAGTCTAAGGGAGCCCACCCACATATGTTCATCAATGATACGGATGGCAGAACAAGCATGCAAAAGAGGTATGTAAAGATAAAACTAAAAAAGAATATTCATAACAAACACATCAACCACCTTTTTACCCCAACCTCCACCCTTTTCCAGAAACTCTATCAAACTCTTTCCAACATGACCAACGCTCGATGGTCGACTCGACGAGTCCATCGTTCGCTCGAATTCGTCATCGCTCGATCGCTCGTCATCGACGACGGACGATCGATCGAAGGCCTGACTTCGATCGCATGGGTGGCGGTTCTTCGGTGGCCCAAAGGATTTCCTCGAGCACCTGCGGGGCGATGTCTGGCGTCGTTGGTTGAGGGATGTCTGGCGTCTGGCTGAGAAGCTTTCAAGGTAGATCAAGGCAGGCCACTGGGCACCAGAAACGATCAACTCAAACAGTGTGGGTCAAAAGACCCTGGATGTCTTTTGGTGGCAAATCCATGGTTGCTGGCAATGATTTGGGAGATTCACCTTGCACACATGCAAACCCAACCGAACCTCATCAAATATTGTATATCAAATGGAATGCATTCTTATGCCAGAACCCTTAGGTGATCTTAGGTGCATCACAACCTAGGCAATCAACAAACTACACAACAAAAGGATACAAAAAGGTACCAAAAACATCGGCTGGATTTCAATCAAGCACCCAGCCCAGAAGGAACAAACATCCCAATAGATCCCCCAACCACCCTTTTCCTAAATGCAGCCCTCACCGACTATGCCCTCTGGAGGAAAGTGCAATCCATTCTGCTCTCGTGGCAAGCTATATAGAATATGTATAGTTAGATTTGCCCAAACTCGTGGTAGAAAAGAACAGCAACCACAACCCACTGGTTGGGGAATCCTTCTTTTGAGATGCACACAAACAATTGAAGGCTCAAAAGTGCTCAGCACTATTTTTTCTCCAGCACACCACGCACAGCACAACATCGCAGAGCGATGAGCACCGCCTGCGACAAGGTGGGCGTAGGATCTGGGACAAAGTGCGCAAAGTGACGCTGCAAGCCAAAAGCAGCACTAGTCTGGGCAAATGTTTACACTCCCGAAAGCTAACCTAGACCCTGACAATGGTAACCTGGAAGACTGTTTTCCTCTACCAACCAGTGGTTTTCAGGGTCCATGTTAGTTTTCGGGCGTGTGTATAGTAATTGCAGCCACAAGACTACCGGAGGTCTGGGTGTCTCGCAATGTTGACTTAAAAAATAGTAGAACAACCGCGAGTTGAGTTGAGTTTCAGAGCAAAAGTCAAACATATTCCAACGTGTACGGGGTAGGCCTCAAAGCAATGCTTGTTGTTTCATGATGTTTCATGTGCTATTTTCCCAATCCAGGCTCTTGCAGTACATCCTTCTTTTTTGGAGGAATTGTAGGCTGGGCTGAGACCTCAATCCAAGACAAGAACGAATTACCTGACGAATGTTGTTGAACTAGGAAGCACCGGGCAAGTTTGATTGCAACAGGTCTGCGGACTGGAAAAAATAACTCAAAGATAAGGCCAGACATGTCAAGAATAAAATCGCCCAATGGTCTTGAGCCTCCTCGCGCAATGAAAATTGACAACTAGATCTCCGGAAGGTCTTTATCCACACATCCGGGTACAACACTAATTACAGTACAGTAGTTCCCTGACTGAACTACCGTAGAAACTTCATTAACTAATTCACTATTCAAATTTGGGCAGCTGATTGGTTGATGGCCCCACCACAATCCCAGTCCAAAAAAAACTCCATCAAACACCCCGAAAAAGCATCCATGTCTTCGCTGCTTGATGATGCATTTCGGTTCTCACCTCGTGCAGGTTTCTTTGCTGCACCGGCAGTGATGGCCATGTTCTCTGGCGTCACAGCCTCATTGCACCAATTTCTGTGTGAGGGAATCTGGTTGAAAAATCCATCACCATATGTCCTGTTGTCGGTTTCTGAAAGTTAGTAAAACTATGTGGATGACGTTATATTTGCTCAGTCAGTGTCTTTTTTTTGCAAACTACTGGATGAAACAACAAACCGAGAGGATTGAAGTTGACCTTCTCGCCTTGCTGATGTATTCGGTCAAGGATGCGTCATCAAGGTGCAACTCCTAGGAGGCAACGGCACATACGACGACCTGTTTTTCGAGACCTGGCAGCACACAAGAATATTAAGAATTTGTATTGATAGATCTCCGGGCAGCCACTCGTTTTCTCAAACACAATGAATCTGAACAAATGGTTTTAAACTGCTCATGGTTTTACAGTACAAAGTTTCATCATGTTTCCGCTTTCCACACCCTCGAAACTCTGAATACGTTCAGAGTGCAAGAAGCTCTAACAACTGGTCTAAACTATCTTCGACCAGTTTCCAAAGTTATGTTTGCCATGTTGGGAATCATCGAGGTTGGTATTGCTATTATTGTTAACATGTGTTCCAGGACTTCGCAAACTGGACTTGAAGCGCCTGAACAAACAAAGGAAACGACAAACCTTGATGCTAGTTGATCCTTTGATGCTAGCTGACACTAGTGCTGCACGCATGTGCAATCTGGAACACTACAGACCCTGAAAACAAAACCAATCCACATCAACTTTCCGGTTTGATGCGATCAAAGAGATCCGCTCATGGCAGAGTCAGAGGTACCAGTTCGCTCCGTTCGTTCATGTTCGTCGCCCGCCTTCCGAAGCCAGGCAACGCGGCCCAAATCCAGAATCCTCTTGGCCATCATTCCCACCTAGGGAGGTTTGTTATGTCATACCCCGTGGGTGCGACGGGACACCGAAGACCTATCTTGAACTGTTGCAGAAACTCTTCGTGACAGGCCCTGGAAATGCCCTACAGTTCGGAGATCAATCTAAAAGATAGGACCGTTGGACGCCTGACACCGATCATGATCAAGACGACGACCTTGTATATTCTCCATCATGGTGGTGCTGGCGGTGACCGGTGACGAACCTGAGACTGAGACTGAGATATACAAAATCAAGAGACCCTCACCTGGCAGGTGGGGAAAACTTGGGCCAATATGTGAGTGTTTTACTGCGGGGGTCGAGATGTATTATGTTTTTCTTTGTCTGGGGTCGAGTCCTCGTACCCAGGACTTTCCTATGTTTGCTCCATACATTTGGTTTTCAAATCGGTCAAATCTCTCAATATAACGGTCTCCCGCGGCTTCCCATCCACCCTTTCTCGGTCTCCTGGGGCTGCCCACCCGACGCTTTTGCACGTCTCGCCGCCCCTCACCGCCCACGGCCCAACCGGCCGTGGAGACCAACTGGAGGAAGTCCTGTGGGCGGACCATAGAGGCTCTGCCTGAATCCCTGAGTCCCCCCGAATTCCACTCAACAGCAGGACTTCCAAACATCAGGTGTGGTTGATAAACGTCCATGATATGAAGTGGGGTGTTTGGAGACAGTGACAGATTCTTCTGGACGGCAAGCCCTCAGTCACCCTCAGTGTTTTGTGCAGCTCGAGCTTACAGCTGAAGAAGAATGACTGTTAACACGAAAACAAGAAGTGTGTCAAATACCGGAAGTTCATGTGTCACAGCTATCAAGTGTGTCAAATACCGGATGAGTGTCTTCCGGAAGACGATGGAAGTTGTCGTTGTCGTTGTCCCCTTCTTCATCCTTCTTCCGTCAAAACGGCAGAAGACGACGGTCGACGGTGGTGACGGTGGACGTCGCCGTGGCCTCCGGTGAGTTGCAAAGGCCCAAGGCTTCCAGGAAAGGCCTCCGTCGGTCGAGCCGAGGACGAGTTCGAGCCAAAAACGTCGGCTGGAGCTGTGCAGCTCACCCGTCCGACCCCATGGACGGTGCGGGGAAATAGACCAAAACCCATTGGGCCAGGGGGTTATTCTCCCTATGGAAAAAAAACATAACTCAGAAGGATCTCCTGTGAACTTTTTCTTGCGAAGAGGAGAAATCAACGGATCAAGTTACGTCCGCTGTGTTAGGGCGGAATAAATTAAGGTGCCTATATATAATACTTAAAACTAAATACCCACACTCAGCCTGCTTTGATACCAGGCAAGGGTGAAACACCCTGAAATCATAGTATCCTCGTATCCTCAAAGAATGTGTTTTTTGCTAGAGAGTGGGATACGAACTGTGCTATACAGCAATCGTGCACTTTCCAACAAATCATGATTAATCTTCCCGTCTTGTTACATTCATCAACAAAGTCGGACGGCACCTTTACATTCATTGTTACTGTTGAATTGCACTTAACCACTGTGGCATCCATTTTGTGTCCTTCTGCATCGTTGCTGTTCTCGTTTTTCGCTTGTTTCGGCCGCAATTTTTTTTGTGATTTACCAAGTGATTGCTTCCGAATTTGTGTTGCCGTTCGAATAGTAAGCAACTTCGTTTGCATTTTATACTGTTCTCGTTTACACCGCTCAACACACACACAATGTGGCGAAAATCCAAACAAAGACTACAAAAGGCAAATTTAACAAAAAATACACACACACACACACCCTTGGAGAGACGACATCAAGAACTGCTCTTTGGAAATCACATGCTGCACCTAAGAGCAGATTTTTGGCCTCGCGTTCGAAGATGAAACAAACCTGAGAAGCTGCAAAACGAAAGCCAGCGCTTCCCTTTCTCGACAACTGCGCGTCGAAGCAATCAAATGAGCTCGCGCCGCCGCTGGCGGCCGCGTGTCAAATCTGCTTCATGTCTTGTTCTGCCCACACATAGGTAACCATGCAAAAGCAACAACTGCACTCTTGCATCACCACCCGCTCCAAAATAACTAAAACATCACCTCCAAGAGTTTACGTATACCTTTCTCGGGCCACCCCCCCCCCGACCCCCGACCGACTTCACACATAGATAATTCCATCCACATTCAGATGAAGCGAAAGCCAAACAATGCACCAAAATTCGAAGTGGCCTGGGACCAGAGGCTCGCTGCCCGAAACTATATGTTCAGGCCACCTCAAAAATGAAGATATGCGAAGCGAGGGTCCTGAGGTGTCTCTGTGACAAGGCTTTTGTTAAAACAGACACTTTTTCAAGCTAAATTCAAGGTGGCCTGAGACCAGGGTTTGCTGCCCT